ATTGACATTGGCAGAACTGTTGGGGAGGAACCAGGTACTGGAATAGCAAGGGGACTGTAAGTCAGGAGGGAGGCGCATTGACAGAGCTGTGTGAGTGCCTGGGATCGGAACAGCACTGGGTGCTGCAAGTCAGGAGTGAGGTGCATTGGCACAGCTGCAAACTTGAGTAGTAATTGCTAGCTGTAAACTGGTTCAAAACTACAGGCTCTCTGTTGTTTGATTAACCTGGTGCAGGCACTCTGGTGGCACAGATGGGTTGCCATGGCAGTTAATCCAGCTGCAGTGTTGACTACATTGCAGATTTAAGAAACAGCCTTCGCTGGCGCAGCCAGCCTTAGTGAGCAGGGAGCTGCTCAGAGGCTGTGGGACAGAGATGCACATTTACATAAAGTCTTGCTCATCTCTGATAGTGTATCAGAGACCAAAGCCATGCAGAAGCAGTAGCACAGGTTGAATTTCCCATATGCAGTCTGGACAAGTGCAGGAGTTGAGATTCGTGTGACACAATCATTCTGCATCAGCCCCATTTGTCACCTGGAATAAACATTTGGGCTGTGACCAGAGTAGCCTCTCAGATTACTCTGAAACCTCAGATTACATTAACAACCTTGAGTTCACTGGCAATCAGCTCACATGAGGTAAAACCCCTCTGTCGATGTAGCCTGAGTGATCCTGGTGGAAAGCTTTGCCAGTGACACGCGGTGGTGGTAACCATCGCAAGGTCAACGCATAGCATCGTCCATCACAGCACACCTACTGCTGCTCTCACTCTCCATTCAGGCTCCCTCCTGACTGTGGGCACGGGAGTCCCTCTAGCCATGAGCCTGTGACTAGAGCCCTGGCCTGGGCCGCCTTCAGAGAATGGTTTTGGTTGAGATGAAGGAGAGGACACCCTTGGAGAGCATGGTTGAGATGGAGATCCCTGGCCTGGTCTCCTTTGGCTGAGATGAAGGATAAGACACCTTGGCCCCCGATTTGTGGGAAGTTTTGCTCTCTCTGAGCTAAAGGAGGGAAAGGGGGCAGCAATGTAAACAAACCATGCTTGGAGGCTGGCAGAGTCCCTGAGCCTCCAACAGCGTAAAGGTCCCCAGGCTGGTTATGAAGGTGGAACCTGAATTAGCTGCTTCTTCCCCATCCCACAAAGACTCCTGGGTCTCTTTATGGTCGTTTTTTCGGGAGCTGCATTATTGCTCCTGCTAACACAGTGCTGCGTTCAGTGTCCTCTTTGCTTTTCTGACATCTCTGAAGGCCTTGCTCTGGCATAACTAACCCTGAGAGATGTGCCTGTCATGACACGGCATCACCACATGGTGGCAGCCCCCTTAGCGTTTCCGGACACTGCCAATGCCCTCTAAACACGGGAGAGTCAAACCAGTTTCCTCACCCCTTGGCAATGAGCAGAGGTCACTGCCCACCAGGGCTGGGTCTCCACTCGGGGGCAATTAAAGCAGGATGCTTCATTTTAGGCAGCCCTTGACTTGGAGAGGATCCAGATGCATCAGGGAGTCAGAATCTGCAGGAAAGCCTAGGGCTGATTTCAGCCAGCTGGGGTGGAATGGAGTTGGCTCAGCTACCTTGCTTGGGAGGAAGATCGTGGACTCTGGAGTGGAGGAAAGACAGAGATCCACCTGGGGGACCTGCCTCGGCCTGCCATGGGGCTGGCTTCGCTACACTCTACTCATTGCTGTGCATTGCTCAGCTTAATTCCTAGGTGCTGGGACCCTGCAGAGAGAGCAGCGAGGCCATTGCTGGCCTCCTCCCAATAGGAACATTCCCCCGCCTTCCTCTTCTATTCCAAAATGTTTGCGGAGTGCACTGACAGCCCGAGGACATGTCAGAGACTTTGTGTTCCTTCCTGGATCTTGGATGCTGTGAAAGACCTGGAGCTGGAGGCATCAGACAAAGGAGTGCACTGAATATTCTAACGATGCCAGGGAGGCCCGGGGCTCCCAGCCCATGTTAAATTAATCTTGGGAGTAAATGCTGACTGACGAGATCCAAGGGCTGTGACAGACCCAGACCAGTGGGGTACAGGAGTCTGGTAGAGGGCAAATATACTGGTCACTGGATGTGTAGTTTTCTGTTCCCTGAGTGACCAGAGCAGGGGCTGCCCTAGAGTAATCAGGAACCTGCTAGAACCAGTTAAGGCAGGTAGGCTAATTAGGACACCTGGAGCCAATTAAGAAGAAGCTTCTAGAATCAATTAAGGCAGGCTAATCAGGGCACCTGGGTTTTAAAAAGGAGGTCACTTCAGTTTGTGGTGGGAGTGTGAGGAGCTGGGAGCAAGAGGCGCAAGGAGCTGAGAGGGAGAGGGTGAGGGTGTGCTGCTGGAGGACTGAGGAGCACAAGTGTTATCAGACACCAGGAGGAAGGTCCTGTGGTAAGAATAAGGAAGGTGTTTGGAGGAGGCCATGGGGAAGTAGCCCAGGGAGTTGTAGCTGTCATGCAGCTGTTACAGGAAGCACTATAGACAGCTGCAGTCCACAGGGCCCTGGGCTGGAACCTGGAGTAGAGGGCAGGCCTGGGTTCCCCCCAAACTTCCCAATTGACCGGGACTGTGGGTTCTCCCAGAGGGGAAGGTCTCTGGGCTGTTCTCCAACCCACATGGTGAATCTCTGAGGCAAGAAAATCTGCCAATAAGCGCAGGACCCACCAAGATAGAGGAGGAACTTTGTCACAGGGCATACTCGTGCATGGCTCCCGCTCCAAATTCTGAACATAACAGAAGCAGGGAGCACATTAATAGCACCCAGCAGGATTCTGACAAACAGAATGGCACAGAAGAACTACTTGGTAAATAGTATCAGAGGGGTAGCCGTGTTAGTCTGAATCTGTAAAAAGCAACAGAGGGTCCTGTGGCACCTTTGAGACTAACAGAAGTACTGGGAGCATAAGCTTTCGTGGGTAAGAACCTCACTTCTTCAGATGCAAGTGCATCTGAAGAAGTGAGGT